TTAAGCGGGTTTCACTGTATCTTCAAAAATATCTCCAACATTTTTTGGTGATAAATAATCCATTTTAATGGTGATAAATAGAGAAAAAAAATAGCAGCCTTCATTTGGATTACATTTCATGTCCTCTAGCGTAGCCGAGGCTATGTTACAAATACACTAGCGCCTTCGCATAAAGGCAAATCCTTGAGAGAACTTACGGACTGAAACTTCGATTTTTCTTTTAACAAATTAGTTTTATAAACATTCGTATTCTTTTCAGGAAGTTACCAGCGATTTTTGGTAAATGTGTCACAAAGCAGCATCTGTATTCTGAATATCGTCGTTTAAAGTACAAAACCGCGTATCGGCATTCTGCAAAACCGCGTAACTGACATTGGCTGCCAAAAATTGGATCTGCTCCCACAAGCTCTTGGCTCAATCCTTATCCATTCGTTCTGAAATATTCTAGCCAAAAATGCGATTTCTTTATAAAAAAGAGAATTATTTTGAAATATGAATGTTTATGAAATATAAAATATGAATCATTTTGAAATATGAATGTTTTTTCTCCCTAGAAAATAATTTATGCAACCCCACATACGCGGTTTTGCATTTTCTTGATACGCGGTTTTGTACTTTAAACGACGATATAAATAATATCGGTGGAGAATTTAGAAATACTGAAAGCTCAAGTGAAAATTAAGTGTTTTATGAAGACTAACTGCTTTAGGAATCTCTCCTTAAGACATATCTGCGAGACATGTAGTAAATATTTTTCTTTTTTTAATTTAGGAATTTCGATAATGCCATAACTAATCGCTAGAAGAAACCATTTATGTACATGTGACCATACTTATTTTATTATGTAGCTCATTTTAAAGGGGAGGGGCTTGAGTATGGTAAGAAAACAACTTATGTCAAAACCAAGCTAATTGGACAACGTTTTTGAGTACTACCTAAACACATATACTCATCATTTGAACATACAAAAAAGCAGAAAAGTCTGTTTTACGAAAGCCAAGTCCGTTTAACATTTTATTTACTGTCTTTACACTTGTTTTAACGTTTTCCATCTTTTTACATTAAAATAATGCAATTAATTTCGCACAGAAAAAGTAATCGTTTGACCTAATGTGACATGGTATAAACGATTTGAATGACTTGAAGACACTTTTTTTCGGCTGTGACACTTTTTTTGCGTCTTTCGAAAAATTTTCAGGGGTAACACTGCGTGTGTGTGTATACGCGAATACGACGCGCAGTCGCCCGCCGGGCAGACGCTGCCCAGCTGTTATTTAAGAGTCTAAATTTTAGACATTATTTCGGTTTCAACCGAAACTGTGCATGTCTGCTTTACTTATTTCGGTTTTTGCCATGTGCATTATTTCGGTTTTCAACTGAAACTTTGCATGTATTCATTGCTTCGCTTTTTTTCATATGCATTATTTCGCTTTTAAAACGAAAGCGTGCATATGGGTGTTTCCATGCAGCCATATGCGACATTCGCACGCTTATGGAGTAACATAAATCTCTCAAAAATATAATTTACTGAAAAACAAGATCACGGTTATGTTGCAACCTAAGGGTACTACGTTTGAGAAAGATATAAGCAGCCTCAATACTTTGATGTGGAAAATATCCGTTCAAAACAAGGTGATAACGTACGCGACAAAAAAAAAAGTGGTTTTAGGGCACATACACATATACGCGAAAGTCTGCGAATCATGGGAGTTTTTCTTTTCTTTAAAAATTCCTAAACTAAGCTAAATAATGTACCTTTACATTCCTTCCAGTTTTTAATAGAAATTATCTCTGGTTAGTTATTATTAAAAAAAAATAATAATAACGTACGCGACATAACGTACGCGACAGATTTTTCCCCCATACAATATTTTTACTAGTAACACATACTAAATTAAATTTTTAATTTCATTTTTCAGTTCTTCTCTCCACAGTTTCGCGTTTACCAAACCTTTTTCCGCCATCTGAGTACGAAATTCATTGTTATAAAACCGTTTGAATTCATTTGCTTGCATTATCGGTTTACATTTTCATGGAAAATTCTAAAAAGTAAAACCCAACAAAAAAGACAAACATATGAGCAAGTTTTAATAGCACTAGAATAGCTGCGCTTGATTGTAGTTGGCTTAACAAATTAAAAAAGCGGAAAAAGCAACAACAGTTTACTTGGCGAACTTAGCTCAGTGGGTAGGCTGGGATCGTTGGATCGAATCCCAGTTGAAGAAGTCTGATGGAGGTGTGGTGATCTCTGAAATGGCTATAACTTATACCAAAAATGTAAATTGTGGATTTTTACAAAACTTTTCATTAAAAAGGCCTCAAGCTCGAATTGTGGTTTCTTCACAAATATTTTCATTAAAAACGACCCCAAGCTCAATAAAATTGTTGAGTATTCTCTAAAATTTTTCTAACGATTTCCATCGCAAAATTTAAAATTTTCTTTTCGATAATTATGGAAACAATTATACATATGTAATTGTTGATAGCATGATAAAAACATAGCAAGGTAGAACCGTTCACTCAATTTGTCGGCCATAATTTTTATTTTGAAGTTTGCCAACATTTTAAAATCATATAAAAGTGAAAATAAAAAATTGAAATTGTTCGAAATTGTTGTTGCTTGAGATTGAAAATGAAAATGTGTGTGTGAGTTTGTGAGTACATTTAAAAATTAAATTGTTTGGAAACGTCAAGAATTTTAAAAGTGACTCTCAGCGGTTCTACCTTACTATATTTTTATCATGGTTGATAGGTTAACGATGAAAAAAATTCGGTTGTTAAGCTTTGCGACAAAAGTTCGTTTAGAGTTGTTTCATAAAATAATGTATCCTTACAGACAATTTAATGAACGCTACATGCATACATATAGAGTCGAAGACCGACGAATACATACTACACGAAGAAGTCAAATAGCGCCAAGGGCCGCCGTTTTGTACATTTTACGGACAACAATATTTCTTACATAGTCATTTGCACAAAGTTACTTGGTCAAATATCTTTGCTGTTATTTGACTGAGGCAAAAACACGTTTACTCCTTCCAGTTGCATACTAAAGCGATGCTTTCCAGAACCCGCGAGTGGTCACTATGAAAGCATATTCATTCCCTACCCCGTAAAATTTTTCCAATGATTTTAGCAGCCTTAAAAGCACTGTGAGGAGCAGAGTAAAACCAGACTTACTGCAAATCGATTTCGCCAAAACACCAAATAAAGATAAATGGTGGTCATACCCAAAGCGTAAATGAACATCCGAAATAAGAACTCGACCAATTAGCAAACACGATAGGTCATCAGTTTACAAATAAAGAACAAACAAACACAAGCTGTAGACAATGGCATCAAAATCGAGGCTACATAGAATACGTAGATAACACTACACGGCATATTTAAGAAAGCGATTGACAGAAACATTAATCAATACCCTGACGCGCACCAAAACGTCCCGACATCCTCTGAGGAGGAATAATAGGCTTAAGTTTTCGAGCTGTGTATCACTTCTCTGCAGGCCGGACATGTGTAATCTTTCCACTAAGACAATGGGCGTTCCCCGAAAGCTATGCATTTTACGAGTATTTGGAATAAAAAATTCAAATTTTAGGTTTATTGAACACCACTTCCAGTAAGTACCAGCAGCGAGAGTGGAAGAAAAAATTATCAGAAATAGGCCACCAGTAAAACAAATAAAAACTTGCCACCTACGCCATTGTGACATTTTTCGATGGTTAAGTTTTGGCGCGCAGTTTTCATTTTGCCTGGAAACGACGAATTTTGGGTCTGACTTCTACATATTAAATTTTAGTTTCTCCTATGCTAAAAATAAGGAAAAAAATTATTTTTTTGATCAAAGTTTGCTTTTTTAAAAACTAGAGCAATTTTTAAATTTTTCTGGAAAAATCACTAATTTTTATATTTTTTTGTATAATTTCACTTTAAATTACGATTAGAAAAGTTTTTGCTGGATATCAGAGTCTTTTTTATTTAAGATTTGTGATAAACAAAGCACATAAATGTAAAATAACAAAAAATTAATGTTTAAAAGTCAATATTTTTTGTATTTCTTATAGTTATCGACGTAAATCAGACAAAAGCAAACTTTAAGAACTAAAAATAAAAAATTCAAGTGTTTTTTAATGTTTCGAATGAGAATCTAAGCATGAGAACAGACCCCAAAGAACAAATTTTTTTCGTTGACCGGTGCTATTCATCAATACTTTCATTTTACTAATTTTATTTTGACCAAATTTTAAATTAGCATTTGTAAATAAAAAAGTAGTAAATGAAATAAGAAAAAAATGGTCTGTGTCACAGGGTTTGAACCCATGACTAACAAGTTCCTTTCGGCTACAGCAGCTGTTGAGAAAAAGTGGAAAAGCACATATTCCAATTTATTCTCAATATTTTTGATTGCGTTTGAAATTTTGTAAGCATTGCCAGTACATTTATAATTTTATATCGACAATTTTCAGAAAAAGATCTGAACGAATTTTATCGATACGATATAGTTACAGAATACACTTGTTGCAAACGCAAGCGATGATTGCCGCAAACTGCGACAGCAATTGTCGGACGGTAGAAAATTTAGAGAATAGCACTACTGAAGTACAAAATATTCCGAAGAAGTAAATTTGACTGTACTGCGAAGTACGAAGTACGAGAGCTAAAAAAGAAGTACCTACTGTTCTTCCGAGCGAAGTAGGGTTGGTCACATTGGTTATACCCATTATTATGTAATTAGTATATACTCAAATAAGTGCTTATACAAATATGGATGTACTTAGTTTAAAACAACCCTTTAATGTTCACTTTGAAGTCTGCTTTAATTTGTTATACTACATAACTATCTATAAACAAAAATCGAATAACATTTCACCAACATTACAGCACACTTACTTATACTAACGTAAAAAAACACAATTAAATATGTAATCGCCAACGCTAAAGTGTAACCATTTGCTTATGCTTCCGCTTTTCTTTTAATAACGTACAACTTAATCAAAAAGAACATCGTCCTCATGGACAAACTCGTGATTTGTCAGTGTTGCCACGTAATGAAAGCACCTCTGAATTTATGCCATTGGAAGGGAAAGAGGTCGAGTACTTTTTCGCATCGGACGCTTCAGCTGTCATCGAGCACACAAATCGTGTCATTTATTTGGAGGTGAGGATAAATGATGTGTACATATACATACATATCGCACACTAAATCAGTCACAATTCAAAATTTTTCAAAACTTGTTTTTCCATAAAACAGTTCACAGACTATATGTATATCTAACGTCCGTCAAAATTTCTTCTCCATCACCATTTTCTTCAACTGGAAAAATACTATTAATACTGTATCTGTTTTGCTTACGTCGCTTGCGCAGCATCAACAGTTTTATGCCTGTCCTGATCATTTGAAATTTTTTGAGTTGTGACATATCTAGATTAAAATGTTTTTGCAAAAAAAAAACCATGTAAAATATATCAAACATAGTATAAAAATATTAATCCATATAATAAATACCACATATTTATTTTAAGGATGATGATGTGGCCGCTGTTCGAGACGGTGCACTAAGTATCCATCGTCTCAAGAAATGTCTAGATGACCCGCATGCGCGTGAAATAACCACGTTAAAAATGGAAATTCAGCAGATAATGAAGGGTAACTACGCTTACTTCATGCTGAAAGAGATTTTCGAACAACCGGAGTCCGTGGTCAACACTATGCGCGGTCGTGTGAGATTTGATACGAAGACAGTGGTACTAGGCGGTATTAAAGACTTTATACCAGAAATCAAGCGCTGTCGACGATTGATGTTAATTGGTTGTGGTACATCATACCACAGCGCTGTAGCCACGCGGCAGTTATTGGAAGAGCTCACAGAGTTGCCAGTAATGGTGGAGCTGGCGTCCGATTTCCTAGACCGCAATACACCAATTTTCCGTGACGATGTTTGTTTCTTTATCTCCCAGTCTGGAGAGACAGCCGACTCCCTAATGGCCTTAAGATACTGCAAGCAGCGAGGTGCTCTTATTGTTGGAATAACAAATACTGTTGGTAGTAGTATATGTCGTGAATCTCATTGTGGTGTACATATCAATGCTGGACCTGAAATCGGAGTCGCGTCCACGAAAGCTTATACGTCACAGTTCATCTCTTTAGTTATGTTCGCTCTTGTCATGTCAGAAGATCGGTTGTCGTTGCAGCAACGCCGTTTAGAAATTATTCAAGCATTATTCAAACTACCAGACCAAATAAGACTGGTCTTAAAACTTGATAACCAGGTGCAGGAGCTAGCCAAGGACTTGTATCATCACAAATCATTACTAATTATGGGACGTGGTTATAATTTTGCAACATGCTTGGAAGGTGCTTTGGTAAGTGTCGATTTGTCTAAAAATTCATACATTATGCCTAAGAAAATCGTATCTAATGGTATTCTTTTGATATACATCTACAGAAAGTGAAAGAGCTGACGTACATGCATAGCGAAGGTATAATGGCTGGAGAACTTAAGCATGGGCCACTAGCACTCATTGATGATCGCATGCCAGTTATGATGATCGTCCTGCGCGACCCAGTTTATGTTAAATGTATAAATGCGCTTCAGCAAGTGACCTCGCGTAAAGGTTGTCCTATCATCGTTTGTGAGGAAGGCGATGAAGAGACAAAGTCCTTCTCATCTCGCTCACTAGAAATTCCACGAACAGTTGACTGCCTCCAAGGTATTCTTACAGTCATTCCAATGCAATTACTTTCATATCACATAGCCGTCCTACGTGGTTGCGATGTCGACTGTCCACGAAATTTAGCCAAGTCTGTAACCGTGGAGTGATTTCGACTTCACATTCATTTGTATATACATACTACATATCGCACACCGTCTTCAAAATTTGGCATTTTTGAAATTATGCGCTAAAAATGTGCACAAAGCTTTTATTTACCTTTCAGCAAAAGCTGGAGCAAATTTTTGTTATAATTTGTTAAAAAAATAAAAAACCCAAGGTAAAGTCGCCCCTGCCCATATGATTAGCATATGCTAAGAAATAGTTTTTTTGTGACTCTTTTGAAGACGGTGTGCTATATGTGCTCTGAAGTCATGGTTTTGCAGGGTGACTGATTGCCATTTTTGCGTGTTGAATTCAGAAAAGTTAGCAATTATGCTCGATCAGGTCAAGTTTCAATTCTATTTAAAAGAGAAATGGTATAAGTAATAAAAATAGCACTAATAAGCCTATCCCATAAAGTTGACCCTACTTGTAAATACTACTAAGCAGGAAATATACCTGTCCTATAATAAAATTGTATCCTAATTCCCATTTTTGCTATATAATTTTTATAATTTTCAGTGGCAGAATATTTGAAAAAGATTCCGAAAAACACCAACAAATGTTGACAAAATTCTCCTCCAAATTCATTTAAATTACATTTATAAATGATGGGTTAGAATCATAAGGGTCTAAGTGACATTTTTTGAAAATATAAGTTATACCCATATTTGTATAGTTAAATATAGTATTTATTTGGCGACAAAGAGTAAACATTTTTTGAATTAGTTAAGTAACCTGCATTCAATTAGGCAAGAATCATTTCAAATGAATTTACCCAGAATTTACAATAAGTAATCAACTTTAACTTTAATTATGTTAAAACAATGTCAGACCTACTTAGATTCTTTTGATTCTAACCCCTTCAAATATCTTCTTGTTATATAGCTTGTCCTTTTGTGCCAGATAGCAAAAAAAAAAAACATGAGCTGATTTATGTACAAGAATTCACTATTTTTTTATATCAGCACGGAGCATTGACTTCAGGCGAAAGCGTAGACCTGTGTAATTTTTGATAATTTTTGTATGTAAGTACATATATTTTTACTTATGTACATATGTATTTATTAATGAATTTGTGTATATGCAAATACATTCTTTTGATAAATTTTAAAGCGGGCAATTTTTTGAAAATCTCAAGCACTTCCTTTTGGGGCTGTACACTTAAATTAGCAGTTAGTTTTACAATAATACATAAATAAATGAAGAATTATGAAAATCTTTTTCACATGTTTTTATTTCTTTTTTTAATTTGACCTCAGACAAAAAATCATAAAACGTTAACCAGAATGGTTTTACATAATTGAATTACGCTGCACTTTTGTTATTTGAGTCTATCCGACGTTTGCAGAGTAAAACTGGAAATATCTGAGCATTAAGTTACACAGAACGTTGTACCGTACGAGCATGGTCGTCGCCAGGATCGAATTAAGAGGAGGTAGGGATAATAGAGCCTCTCAAATTTAATCTTCGTGGAATAATTTCCGATTAATATTTTATATTAAGACGTATTGTGCTTATATCGACTGCTGAGTGGAGATCGACATATCTTGGCAGCCAGTTCGACAGCGCCCTATCTCAAAAACATCTTCAATGCGCATGCATACGAGTATCTACATTCATACCAGTGTTGCTACTGAAAAAATTGTTTTCCGACCAAATTTCGTACCAAATCCTATTACGACGGACCAATGGAAAAATTTCCGATAACTTTAAATTCATTCATAAATTAATAAATAAAATTAACTAGTGGTTGAACGACGCAAAAATTGCGTAGAACGAGGATGCAAGGAAGAAGTAAGAAGAATGACGAGCGAGTTAAGACGAAGACGGCGGTAAAGACGGTTCGCTTTTAAAGATGTACATATCTGTGTAATAATTGTAAACTTTAACTTTCAATTTCATTTTATTTAATTCTAAATAAATATTGCTACTTTACTTGTACTTTAATCGTATATTGATAAACTTTGTAATTAATAAACTTTGAGTGAAGAATTACCACAAATATGAGGGCTCAACCAATTCCTTGTAGTGCGGTGGTGTAATTTATAAAAACGGTCTAATTTCCAAATTCGTGTGAGCGAAAAATAATTAGCAACAAACCTGTGACTGAATTAATGTGATTAAATACAATAAATTTGCATTTCACAATGTCGCGTTTGTTTGATTTCGAGAGTGTTCGAAGAAATTTGCGTGTTTCCAATAGAAAAATTCTGTGGCTTTGCATAAGTATGTATTTGAGAGAGAAGGCGACAGAGACAACAGAAAACGGTTCGCGGGTTTTGATTTCATTGAATACGATGAAAAATATTTGAACAAGTGCCATCATATTAAACAAAAACTAATGGAGTGCGATTTAATTGCAATTTGTAATTTGCTTACAATTAATTACGATGAGCAAGGTATGATACTGCATATTTTCCACAATCCGCAAAATGGACATTTGTTAAATGAATCTTGTCGCGATGAAGATAGTGAAACAGAGAACGAAGAGGATGATGTTGAAAGTGAAGAGAATATCAGTGAAAACAAATCGGCAGGCCACGCAGGCTTTAACGCGAGCAACGAGTGTAAGAAAGCTACAAAAATGCAAAACGAAGAAGGTAGCGCACGGCGAAAGCGTCAACAGAGTGAAATGAGCAACGATTGTTTTGTGTCGGTAGAAAACGAAGAATACAGAGTAAACAAAAATATATCCAGAATGCAATTACCGAAACTCTTGATGAATTTCCGCGATATTGAAGACTCTATCCGTATGTTTGATGGCACTGAAAAAATGCCGGTAAACATGTGGATTACAAAATTCGAAGAGACTGCAGCGATGATGGGGTGGGATGATTTTCAAAAATTTGTATTCGCAAAGAAATCACTCAAAGGTATTGCTAAATTGTTTGTGTCTAGCGAGAGGGGTATAGTTTCGTGGAACAAGCTGAAGGCTGCATTGCTTAGCCAGTTTAAAACAACAACAAATAGCACAACGCTTTACAAACAACTATCTGAAAGGAAAATAAAGAGTGGTGAGTGTATACAAGAATATTTTTTTACAATGCGTGAACTGGCATTGAATTTTAAATTGGCCCAAACCAAATAAACGCTTTTAATGTCGTAAAATAAATTTTGACTGAAAAACCCGTACGTAAAATTTTTAACCAGAAGTATGAGACGGAAATCCATACAGATGCTTCCATCGAGGGTTACGAGCTATACTATTACAGAAATGTCCAAAAGACGGCCAACTTCACCCCGTGTATTACATGACTAAAAAAATATCGGATGCTGAGTGGAAATTTTGCAGTTATGAACTGAAAATACTTGCCGTCATAGCAGCATTGAAAAAATTTCGAGTCTATATCTTAGGCAAGCACTTCAAGCTGGTTACAGACTGTAATGCTTTTGCAAAAACTCTCGAGAAGAAAGACTTATGTACACGAGTTGCTAGATGGGTACTGTTTTTACAAGAATACGACTATAAAGTAGAACATTCGTTCGGGAGATCGTATGAAGCATGTAGATGCCCTAAGCCGTTATTCAGTCTACATTATTCAAAACGATAATATTGTCATACAAATTAAAATAGCGCAGAACCAAGATGAAGACTTAAGGGCGGTAATCAATATCGGTCAAGAGAAATCCATATTTAAAGACTTCATTCTCAAAGGGGAATTGCTTTACAAAATTGTTAAAGATTCTGAACTATTGGTAGTCCCGCGAGCGTTGCAGCGAGAAATAATTAGGAACGCACATGAGAGACGCCATTTTGCTTTGAAGAAGACTAAAGACAAAAAAAAAATGGATTCTATATTTTCAATTAGAGCTCTAGCAATATGTACATCGGTAAAAACTGCAATTAATTCCATACATTAGTTTTTGCGTGATGCGCTTACAAACGTACCGAAAATTTAGACTTGGCTTCTGTTGATTTAATAAGCCCCCTATTAATTTTTCTTTAATATCTATAAGGTACAGACATCGACCTGTTACAATTTTATTATATGTATATCTTGATGTAGATATAGATTTCATTTATTTTATCAATTTAGTTCAATAAAATTTTTCAAAGAGGTGGCAGCCCTCCCTAAAAATATTTTCGGCAATAAAATTTCCTAAACCCCTTCAGTTTGACACCCATATTGCAATGTTCACTTTCAAAAGTCGATTTAATATTTATTGTACGTATTTATATAAGCGTAAAAGTCTCCATATTCTGATGAACTTAGAAAATGCAAGAAAACGTGGTAGTTTCGGTGCCTAGTGGAAGACGTTCTAAAAAAGAAGCAGACTAACCTTCATGGAAGAAAGAACGCGAAAAGCTAAAAAAGCTAGCTATATAAATGTTACTGTTTCAAAAGTCGCTATATTAAATGTTTATATAAAAAATTAGCAAAAACTACCACACTGCGATTTTGTTTTTTAATGTTATTAGCAAGGTGGGTTCGAGCGAGCGGGCGAGCAAACTCCTACTCAATGCCTCGCAGACAACGAGGCGCTCGCAGCTCGTACTCGTAGCAGCAATGAGGCGAGGCACGAGAAGTTTGGCTCGCTCGCCAAACGAGCGAGCGCTGCTTGTTTGCTCGCGCTCCTATTAAACGAGCGAGGCTGTTGTGTGTTGCCTCGCTCGCAGTACGAGTACGAGGCGAGTAGCTGTCTGCATACTCGCTCTGCTATGTAAGACGAGTGAGCGAGGAGCGAGCGCTCCGAGTGCACTATACAACACATGCATTTTTGTGCATAAAAATGTGGGAATGTATGTCAATAGATTATGTACGAAAGTATGTTAATAATTGTATGTACATATGTACATATGCATATAAATATGTAAATATTATATCGAGCCATAACCGACAAAATAACGTAAGCGACATTTTTTTCAAAATTTTATTTTTGTGGACTAAGCAACTTTTCACACAAAGTTAGCGATATTTATGATGTCAAACTACTGGTCAGTCGTCTCTTGATTTTTTGTTTTTGTTTTTAATAAATGTACATATATTTATATATGTATAATTATTATCATTCCTTTGAAATGCAAAAATTAATTCGCATTAATTTAAAAATAAATCCGAAACGATCCTTTTGTATGTCTTTTTTTTAATTTTCTGGAATTTTGTGGGAAAATTATTCTTACTGTAAGGGAACAGACCTT